AATCATCTGTACACATTGGGAAATGATTTAAGTTTCTGGCAGGTTGAGGCAAAATACTGACATTGATGAAGATAATGTAAAACTTTATAATACACTGCAAACTTGTTAATGAGTGTCATCAGTCCAAAGGATATATAAGATGAGCCACCGTACAGGAAAACTGGAAACTCTTGAAGCCTTACAATTTAATATGAAAGAAATTTGAGAAAAGATTTTTCCCAACTCTACAATATAAAAAAATGTACATTGTACTACTACCAATAAGTAATAAACTTTTCTGAATGATCAACAACAACAAAAAAACAAATTTTGAACAACCATCAGATTGGATTTTTTCTACTATTTTTATAGAAAATAACATAAATCATAATGTGAAGAGGTGTTCAAAGTGTATGAAACTAAAAAAGGTAGAAAAGTAAGTATTACCAAAGAGTCAAGCAACAACTAATAAAACCTGTTATTTAATTTTTTAAAATGTCACATTTATAAATATCAGAATTCTTTAATTGTTGTGATTTATTTTTTCATGTGAAGCAAGGATTTACTTTCACATCAAATTTTCTACTCTTTTCCTTAAAGAAGGACCCTGAATTGTAAGCTTCAGGCCCTATCTTTTGATTTTAGTGTTTGATCTGAAAATGCTGTGAGATAAATATACTTCTTTTTCCCCAGACTAGGCATGGGCTTTGCATCTGCTGAGTGGGCCATGGAGAAGAGTCTGCATCTCCAGGGATCCTTTGGGTCAAGTGAGCTGGCAGAATACCTCCAACAGTGTCATTAGCAGCCTGGAGCAAGAGCTTTTACCTCAATAAACAATGCTGTGAAATATAACCCAGCATCTTGTCATGTTAGAATATTGCTTTCTGAACTGTCAGACTAGGAGTTAGGAAATGCATACTTGCAACATTGAGAAATGGTGTTTCAAATGTCATGAATCCGGGTGATCTTTGAAAACAGTTTTATTGAAAGGCTTGTGGTCCTAGGAGGCAAAGGTTGTTCATTAGAAGGGCAAGTGAGTGACCAGAAGTCAGAAATAAGGAGAGAGGTCTCCCCTGTTAAATAGGCAATGAATATCATAGAGAAGTGATACGACCTTCCACTCACAAGCTGCATCGTCCCTAGAATCTGCTCATCCAGGGCCAGCAAGGCTGCTTGGGAAAGTGGTTTCTAACAGTCATAAAAATTTCCTTAAGATTTACTGAGACCCCACTGCAGGTCTGGAATTGCACCACTGTTGGAGGAGATCATTAAGAGGATGTGACTGTCAGTGGACTCAGGCAATATAAAAACTCCTTACACCCTCCCCTGTCTTTGGAATATTAATTTCACCTGCTGTTCTCACTCTTCCACTTCAAGGATGCAGCCTTGAGAGGACGTGTTATTAAGATCATCTGGAATGTATAGGGCTTCCTTGATGGCTCTGTGGGTAAAGAATCTGCCTGGCAATGCAGGAGACACAGGAGATGACGGTTCGATTCCCGGGTTCAGATCCCCTGAAATTGTTTCAGAGCAAATGGCAATCTACTCCAGTATTCTTGCCTGGAGAATCCCATGGACAGAGGAGTCTGGTGGGGTCACAAAGAGTTGAACACAATTGTGTGACGGAGCACCTTTGCACGCTGGAATGTATATGTGACTGAACTCCATTAGAGCTTCTATGTAGGGCTGGTAGGAGAGGAGATTATTCATCTTGCAGCTGCCAAAGACAGCAAGCCTGGTATGTAAGTTCCTTTCCTTATTAAAACTGCCACCTAAAAATATACAATGGAGAAAAGACCATCTCTTTAACAAGTGGTGCTGGGAAAACTGGTCAACCACTTGTAAAAGAATGAAACTAGAACACTTTCTAACACCATATACAAAAATAAACTTAAAATGGATTAAGGATCTAAATGTAAGACCAGAAACTATAAAACTCCTTGAGGAAAACATAGGCAAAATACTCTCTGCCATAAATCACAGCAAGATCCTCTATGACCCACCTCCTAGAGTAATGGAAATAAAAGCAAAAATAAACAAATGGGACCTAATTAAACTTAAAAAGCTTTTGCACAAGGAAGGAAACTATAAGCAAGGTGAAAAGGCAGCCTTCAGAATGGGGGAAAATAATAGCAAGTGAAGCAATTGACAAAGAGTTAATCTCAAAAATATACAAGCAGCTCATGCAGCTCAATACCAGAAAAATAAACGACCCAATTAAAAATGGGCAAAAGAACTAAACAGACATTTCTCCAAAGAAGACATACAGATGGCTAACAAACACTTGAAAAGATGCTCAAAGTCACTCATCAGAGAAATGAAAATCAAAACCACAATGAGGTACCATCTCACACCAGTCAGAATGGCTGCTATCAAAAAGTCTACAGACAATAAATGCTGGAGAGGGTGTGGAGAAAAGGGAACCGTCTTACACTGTTGGTGGGAATGCAAACTGGTACAGCCACTACGGAGAACAGTGTGGCGGTTCCTTAAAAAACTGGAAATAGAACTGCCATACAACCCAGCAATCCCACTGCTGGGCATACACACCAAGGAAACCAGAATTGAAAGAGACACATGTACCCCACTGTTCATTGCAGCACTGTTTACAATAGCTAGGGCATAGAAGTAACCTAGATTTCCATCAGCAGATGAGTGGATAAGGAAGTCGTGGTACATACACCATACACACAATGGAATATTACTCAGCTATTAAAAAGAATGCATTTGAATCAGTTCTAATGAGGTGGATGAAACTGGAGCCTATTATACAGTGAACTGAGTCAGAAAGAAAAACACCAATACAGTATATTAACGCATATATATGGAATTTAGAAAGATGGTAATGATGACCCTATATGCAAGACAGCAAAAGAGACACAGATGTAAAGAACAGACTTTTGGACTCTGTGGGAGAGGGTGAGGGTGGGATGATTTGAGAGAATAGCACTGAAACATGTATATTACCATATGTGAAATAGATCACCCGTCCAAGTTCAATGCATGAAGTGGGGCACTCAAAACTGGTGCTCTGGGGCAACTTAGAGGGATGGAATGGGGAGGGAGGTGGGAAGGCTTTTGGGATGAGGGACATAAGTACACTTGTGGCTGATTTATGTCAGTGTATGGCAAAAACCACCACAATATTGTAATTAGCCTCCAATTAAAATAAAAAAATTAATTAACGAAAAAAACAACCTGCTACCTACCAATCTGGAGTGGTCTGCCTCTTCCTTCGGTCCCTCCTTGCCCTCCATATATGAGGTCATTTTGAATCACCCAGGGGAACTCCTGTGGTTGCTAACTAACAGCCAGTGCTGGGAATATATGAATACCTAGATGCTGGTCTGTCTCACTAAATAGTCAAACAATTAGTTGGGAAAACTAGAGGTGGGGATGGTAGGGAGGTGCCAAACCTCATTTAAAAATCTTTGAAATCGGTACAGAAATCAATTCAGGCTGGGCTGACAGAAAAATACGCTCTGTGGAGGTGGCACTTGAGCCATTGAAAGGGAGAGTGGACTTCACGAGGAAGAGGGGGTCTGACAGCTCCTCCCTCCCTCTGCACTTGCAAAAGTGAACAGGGGGAACGGGATTGCTGCGTCCAGGAAAGGAATAAAAGAAAGGAGTTGGTCCAATTTCGGTGAAGGGGGCTGGGGATAGGAAGGGGACTGTGGGCTCTGAAGTTTAAAAAAAAAAAAAAAAGCCTTGAGTGAGCTTGGATATTATTTTGAAGTTAATGGGCATTCTGAAAGACTCTGGAAAGAGTGTTTCAGGAAATTCCCACAGGGCCCTGGCTCTCCTCATCCTACACCCCTCCTGGAATCTACACTTTTAACAACTGGAAATTTAGGTATAGAGGGGCTTGGGTTGGGGAAGCTGTTGTGTGTCAAGGGGCACAGCAATTCCAGATGTTTCTGCTTTTCTCCAAAGAGTTGGAAGATCAGCTCTGTCGTCTGTTAGTCGCTCAGTTGTGTCCTGCTCTTTGCGACCCTGTGGACTGTGGCCTGCCAGGCTCTTCTGTTCACGGAATTCTCCAGGCAAGAATACTGAAGTGGGTCATCATTCCCTTCCCCAGGGGATCTTCCCCTCCCAGGGACTGAACTCGGGTCTCCCCCATTGCAGGTGGATTCTTTAGTCTTCAAGGGAAGCCCAGACCAGCTCTACCTTGACTTAAAAAAAATAGCACTATTATTACTGAGAAAGAGTAATTTGCAGGTGAACACAGTGTATTTGTGTTTTTGCATAATGCTTATGTGTTTGTCTTAAAAATTTTACATTCAAAGATTTGGCCTATCAAAATTAGGAAATATGAAAGAATTAGTTCAGATGTATTGGGGGTGTGGTCTGGTTTATAGGACTGCATTCTACAAAGATCAAAGCGCCCAGCTACTAGGTAGTATAAACACTTCACATAGGATAGTGACCTGTGTGTGTGTGGCTCCTTCTCAGAAATGGGTGAGAAACTCATGATATCACCAAAATGAAAATGTCCTACCACCATAACATTCTGTATCTCCGAAGAGACAATAAATAAATAAATATTTATTGATTGATCTGAATAAAAATGATACCTACACAATGATATTAATATTAAAAACAAACAATACTACAGGTGGTGAAAGTACCGTTAAAATAGAAAGCAGCTTAAGAGAGAGAGAAATGAATAGATAAGTTTGCTTTTTACAAGAGGGTGGGTTTGCAAATGCCTGAAATCTAGTTTTATTTAGGGATTATTCATCTGTCTCATCTTCTTCTCAAAGTCTTTAAATACCAGCATCTACTTTAATAAAAAATTGCAAATTCCTCAAACCTTCACTAGCAGTCAGCAAACCACACATGTAATCTGTACTATACAATTTAGCCCTTAATTACATTTGCCTTGCTTCTTTCCCTATTGTTTTAACGCGTCAGCCTCCTGTGCTCAAAATAGATCTTAAGCTTCTTGAAGGCAAGAACCCGGCTTTCAACTGTTTGCAGCACGCGGGCACTTAACGAAGCCAAGGCTGATTTATGGACAATCAAGCCAGGATCTTAAATTGCAAACCGCAGTCCCGCCTCGGGGACACGCTTACCCGCTGGGGGCCCTGCCGCCCACCAGGGGCCCTGTCTCGCTTCCCCCACCCCTCGGCCGCCCTTTCTCGTCGCTTCCCCAATCCGGCCAGCAGGAGGCGCCACAGACTCGGGTTAAGCCGTTTCCCCCCTTTTCCTACCCCACTTCCCCCAGCACATGACGTGGGAAGCTGCCTCCGCCAGAGTCTTAGCAATAGGAGTGAGGGGGTGACGGGGTTTGGGGGTGGGGTGGGGTGGGGGGTGTGGCGAAAGAGGACACGCGCGCACACACACCTTGGGAGCACGGGCGTCTTCCCCCAGCTTCGTGGGTTTCTCCGCCCACCAGGGCAGTGTGTGAGAGGTAGGGTGTGTGTGTGTGTGTGTGGCACGTTTTTGAGTGAAAGACCCAAATCCAGACCAGGCGACCTGTGATCTCCCGCCCTGCCCCCGCCCCCGGTGATTAATCCCCCTTTTCTTACTCTCCCCATCCTCCCCTCGTCCTCTTCCTCTCCCGCTGCCGCGCGGTTGACTTGCATAGCCGGCCCCCGCCCGCTTCCCCTCCCCCGGCTCCCATCACCACCAACAGGAATCTGGGCTCCTGCCTCTCCACCCCCCACCCCCCACCTTTTTGGAGAAAGGCAGGTCCCCCACCCCCTTTGAAAAAAAAAAAAACCCCACTTCCTTCGGCTTCTTCACCTCTAGGAAATCTCGGGGCTTTGCTCTATCGCAAGCGCTCGTCCGGGCGGTTTTTGAGCACCACCATCCAGAAGTGCTGGCGTCCGGATGCATTTGCTTTTGCTTTGCAAAGAAGAGTCGTGAACTTCAAGACCCTTCGAGACGGATAATTAATCCTGCTTTGCAGGAAAGGGAAACCCTCCATCCCCAGCCACCCCCTCTCCGGAGACCCTGCAATCGCTTGGGATCTCCGAACCGGTACGTAAATATTCGCCTTGGAGTCTCTTGTCTCAATTTTGGGGGGTTGGGGGGTGTCAGGAAGATAAAGGGTCGAGGCGGTGGAGCCCTTGACCAACCTGGTTATTAAGTAAGGCTCTTAAAGCCGGCAGAAACCGGCACTTGCTCGTTTGGACGTGGCTTTTTTTTTTTTTTTTTTTTAAGATTTTTCAGGGTAGAGGGGTAGGGCACTCTCTGGTCCTTTGTTGCCGGGGTTCGTCCCCTTACCGAGCAGAGAGGCTGGGCATCGGTGCCCGGGGCCGGAGCCGCGCGCCGCGACCATCCGTCCAATAGACACGTTGCAGGTGAAGCCCAGTGCGCTGCACATCAGCGCGGCGGCGGCGTGAGTGTGCGCGCGGGGGCGCGTGCGCGCCGGGGGCGTGTGTGTGTGTGTGTGTGTGTGTGTGTGTGTGTGCGCGCGCGCGCGTGTCAGTGTGCCCCTTCCAAGGAATGCCCAGTGTGCAGCCGGTGCACAATCAGAACCCACTGAGCACCAGCCCGGGGTGGGAGGAGGCGCTGCTGCTGGAGGCGATGGGGACGGCGAGACAGAAATGTCGGCAGCACTGCAGATGGGGCTGGGGGCCGCAGTTGCTGGCGAGTTAAGTGGGGCTTGTGTTTCTGCGTGTGTGTGTGAGTGTGTATTGCTACAGGGAGCCGCTTCTCCCTCCCTGCTTCCCACTTCCCTCCTTCGCTCCCTCCCTCTCTCTCCCTCTCTCCTCGTCCATTCAGGTTGGCTTTCCCACCTCGCATCCATGCCTGTCCCAGGAATGGTATAGCCAGACCTTTTCTGAATTATTTATAGACCGGTGCCAGCTGTTTTCCATTCCTCTGGTGTGCACTCTGTGGGAAATGCAGGGTTTCCTCCCCCCTTTTCCTTAAAACGAATTGATTTCTTTTTTTTCGGAATGCATTTTTCTCATCCTCTGGGGGACACTCGAATCAAACCCTGACCATCTCTTTTTTTCCCTCTTAGGAAGGGGACGCTTTGGGAATGACCACGCTCCACGGAGGGACAGAGCCGGTCCCCAGCTTCTCTACACAGAGCCTCCTCCACTAAAGCTCCAAAAACCAAAAACCGTAATTGCCTGAAGAATTGTTTAAAAAAAAAAAAAATAGTCCGGCCACTAACCTCACATGCACACGGAATAATCATTCTGGATTCTGCATTGTGAGCTGTTCTCCATAGCCTGATTTACCTTTGAATTCCATCTTTTTTTTTCTTTGAATTTGCATCTCTTCAAGCCACAAGATTAAAACAAAATTCACGCTGAATTGGATTTTAAATGATCTTCCTTTTCTTTATCCTTCGTCTTTCTTATGTGGATATGCAAGCGAGAAGAAGCGACTGGATATTCCCACCATGCTCACTCCCTTAATCTGTCCATCTAGAGGTTTGGCTTCTACAAACCAAGGTAGGGCAAATCCGATTTCATTTTCTTCTCACCTGGGGTAGGGATTCCTTGTTTATCTCTCTCTTCAAGTCCCTCAAGTGGATTTTTTTTGGGGGGAAGAAAGGGTAACAAGATACTCAAATAATGCTGTGTGGGGGAAAAGGCTTGTTACAAAGGGGGAGATCTCCCATGTTATTTCTTTTCCTGCCTCATCAAACAGGTTTGGGGTTTTTTTGGAGGCATGGGGGTGGATGTATGTAGGGACAGCTGTTGGATGGCAGAAGGGCTGGGAGACCTGTGTGATTTTCAAGTCAAATAGCAAATTTATTCACCTCGAGCTAAAGCTCTGATTTTGATGGGAATCGGGAAAGCTTTTCTTCTTTTTTTCAGGCTGCCTTTCCCCCTTGCCACTTCCATGTCTCTCTAGCTCCGGTCCCTACCTTCCTGGGCATCCTTTTTATGCCCTTTTTAATAAATGAAATGATGAATGAGGTTCTTGTAGCTGTTGCTCCGAAGTCCACTTGCTGTCTAAATGCTGACCCTCGGCCAGAGATCCCGGGAGGCCTACTGCAGAGGGACAGGTCTAGGTAGGAAATCAGCCTGCTCTCAGAACACCTGGAATTGGAGGCTGCTGCAGGTTGAGAGGACTCAAATTTTAGGCTCGGAAAGAAAGAATTCTGTCAGTATTCTGCTTTCTCATTTGTATTTTTTGGTGTGCTATTATATTTGAGCTATAAATTTCTCCTTCTGTCTACACATCTATTTATACCCACACATCCTCCAAGCAAACTGTTACTTCCACACTCTTGCAAAATGGCTATCTTGCAGAGTTCTAAAATGCTGTGTGTGGCAGGGGTGCAGAATTCGACACGTGAGTCTTTGTGTTGAACAAAGAGATGTGCAGTTTGCTTGGGTTAGCCATGGACCCTCCAAAGAGAATGAGCGCTTATATTTTTTCTCCCTCTCATCAAATTCTACAATATTAGCTGTGTGGTTTGGCGGTATTTTCATGGACTTGAAAAGAGAAATAGCAGGAGAAATGGAAAAGACTTAGCTAATGGCTCTTCAGCCAGCCACTCATGCAATCCAAGACTACTAGGAAATAAGATCGCCCGTGGGCTGGAGGGCCAAGGGACCTGGCTACTCCACTGACCATATATTCCCAAACTCCAAAGGCACCCAAGGGTAGGGATCGGGTTGAGAACAAGATTTTCAAAATAATGTAGCAGAGTCACTAGTACCAATAATCTTCCTGAAAGTATTCCACCCCCAAATCTTTTTTCCAGGGATTTTTAAATAATACTTTGAAACAATCTAAAATACTAAAGGGATGTGGGAGAAGTCCTGGAAGGTCCTTATCACTCAACATCACTCTAGAGGAGAGTTAGTTCTTCATTGTCCAGAAAGAATGGATGGAATCCGATCCACTGCTGCCCTGCCGCAGGTTTCATTCTTCTGAGCATTCCTGGCTTCAGCTCTCATCTGTAACCATGGTGGTTGGGATCCCACTTGGAGCCACGCTGTCGCCATGTCTACAAATAGCCAGGGTGATCTAGTGTGCGCTCACCGAAGACACCTGAGTGGTTCCCCATCTGCTTCTGCTCCTTCGGGTGGGAGGATGAACTCGGAATTTGACTTCAAAAGAGAACAGAGGTCTGGGTGACAATAGCAACTCCATGTGCAATGATCCCCTAGGTAGGATGAACTAGTCGAGATGGGTCTCAGCCTCGTTTGCATTTCTTAGGCCACCACCGGTGCTCCCCACCAAGTAGGTCCTTCATCAGGTTGGTTGGTGACGGGGTTGTCAGGAGGCCTTTCGATCTAAGTCTCAGCCCCATTTGCCCTGAATGCCAATGGGGTGAAGACAGGTTCCAGGCCATCCTTAGCTGGCTCTAGGACTGGGCAAAGGACAAGAGACTGAACGGGGAGGAAGGGAGGACTGAGTGGTGGGAAGGCCACCAAGAGGAAGAATGGGATCGATCTGGAAAGAGCTTGTTGGGATTCAGGGAGGAGTCACCACAGGTGGTCCATGCCTTTCCACATCCAAAGCCCTTTTGGAGACCCTGGGAAAAGGCAGGTGTCCCTGTCCTTGAGAGCAGATGCCCTGAACTCAGAGGGGTTCTGGGCTGCCTCCGAGCCAATATTTTCTCCCCCCACCACCCCCGCTTTTTTTCCCCCTCACTGCCCAAAATGCTGACTGGGTTCTATTTTGTCTTCTTCCATTCTGTCAACTCCCCTGATGGTGTGGGCTACATGGGAAAGAAATGTGGCTGCTTGTGGGAGGAAGAGCACATTGAATTCCAATCGAGGCGCCTCCATGATATGCAATTAAGACAAAAATTAATAGGAAATAAAGGCTTCCCAGGAAAGCACAGTTAAGGAGGTTAGGCTGGTGATGTCAAGGGATGCAGAACAACATGGTGTCTTCTGAGTGTGTGTTTCAGGTGTAGCAAAGCATGATGGAGCTGTGAACACAGGACGATGTGGCAGCTTAGAATAGATTCTGGAAGCAACGAGAGGGGCAGGGTGTGCCCAGGAGCGTCTGGTTCCTTCTCTCCATTGGTCCCATTCCTGGGAAGCCTGTCTGTCTGAAGAGCCTTGCTATGCCACTCTATCTGTATAATTTATCAGGGGGGATAGAGGCAGAGAGACTAAGGAAGGAGGGGACATGATAGAAAAGGAGGAGGAAGGGAAAAAATTCCTCCAGTCACTACTTTGCACACCCAGTGCCTTTCTTTTAGGCTGAGAGAGAAGAGAGACTTCCTCTGGTGAAGGGATGAACAGCAGGTACTTTGATTTTGTATTCCTGCTTCACCTCCAGAAATATGGTTTCAGAACCTTGACCTTCACATTCACGCACCCAGACTTGTGTGTGTGTGGAGGGGAGGACAGTGGGCATCTGGGGGGTGGACACATGGACTAAAATTGGTTGGTGGGATGAGTGGAGACACAGGACTGAGCGGGGTTCAGTCCTTGGCCACATCATCATTTCCTTGTATAACCATCTCCCATCTCCTCCATGAATATGATGAACCCAGGATATAGAGGTTTTTTTCCCCCCTATTTTCTTGTTCAAGGATCTGAAAACTGAGATAACATATCGACTAGTTCTGACAGGCTAAAGCAAAAATTTAGTTAATATTTACAGACTGTGAAATAGAGAAGAAGGCAGGGGAAAGGATAGGTTGTGTGTGAAGAAACCAGAGCAAAATAGCAGCCTATAGGAGCCAGGTGGAGCTCGTCATTCTAAAGGCTGGGAAACTATTGTTCTGAATGATGGCCTTCTCTCTGTAGTGATGGACAGTAGGGCTGACAAAATAGCTCATCTTGGCTAACTTGTTGGGGTCAGAAGTGGATAAGCTCCTTTTCCTCACTGTCATTCTGCACCCTCCTTAAGAATTCTAGAAATTTCTTTCTTTCAGTAAACTATATTTGCAGTCTCTGCTACTGTGCATACAGTTGGATCGTAATATCCGCTCTCTCTGTAAATAAATATGAATCCAAAGAGTTACTGGTCTAATGAATTGTTCACGTTTATTAAAGTGCATCTCCTCTTTGCAACCACAAGAAGAAGTCTCCAGGGAGAGTAGATTAGTGGTTGAATTGATATTATCTTTCAGAAGGTTGCAGAAGATGGAATGTGAAGGAGCAGGCATAACTCAGAGGAGGTGGGTTTCTACAGCATACCTGTGGCTGTTAATCAGGTGCCTGTAGCCGTGACACAAGATCCATGGTGTGGATCAGCTCTTAGGGTTTTGTGAGCCTAGAGAGGTGTGTTCAGAACCTTGCAGTTGGGTCCTCAATAACTTCCAACCATATTACTTTTGTGTTTTCACTTTCCACTGCTTTCAGCTGAGGTTGGCAGAGAAGGGACCTAGTGCCTATGTAACCTGTCGTTGAAGTCCTCTGTGACTACCCCAGGAAGCTCTGCCTTCTCTCCATCACTGGTGCTTGCAGATGACCATCAGTACACTTTATTTATAAACTTTTGTTTATATGCCCTGTTTCCCTAAGAAGTTTGTGAGCCCCTTGAGGGCAGGGAGGGTTTTATTCACCTTGGAATCATTTTTACTTGACACAGTGTCTGGCACATAATAGAGACTTGGGAAAATAGTAAGTGAATGAGTGGAGAGAAGAAGTGAAATATTAATTAGTGAAAGATGCTACTTGTTATTTGTTCAGGTGGGTTTAGGAATGGTTCACAGTTAGGATGTTAAAAGAGATCAAGAGGATGAGAGCTCTGCGACACTTTTGAAAGCGTCTTCTCTGACCTCACGTAATAGATGGACACTGAGATCCAGGGACATTAGGTGATTTGTTGAAGTTGGGTAGCTGCTTACTGCCAAGGCGTTGTGCACTGCTCCTCTGAACAGAGTGAGATGTGGAGGTTATTTGTGGATTTCAGATGTCTCCATGAGCACTTCTCAAACTTTATTGTGAATAACAACCACCCAGGGACCTTGTTAGGATGTCCATTCTGAATCAGTAGGTCTGGGCTGGTACCTTAGATTCTGCATTTCTAGCCATCTCCCAGGTGATGCCCAAATTACTTGACCATGGATCATGGGTCTACATCATTCCTGAACCCAGTCCTGTATCATCGTGAACACTGTCAGTTCCACATCTGTTTCTGTTCCTTTGGGGACTTCCAGCCTTTCTGCTTTGTTCTTAAAAATAGAAAAGAAAAAATCAGAGAGGAGGTTTTGTATTTAAGTTCACCCTTGTCCTTTCTTCCTTCACGCTTCCACCCACATACGTCGTTTGCCTCTTTGCCTTCGGTCCTCTCTGGTTTCTTATTCCGGTCCTTCTCATCACTGATTCTCCTCCCTCTTTTCTTTTACTCCAGCTTCTGAGTTTATTTATCTCTTGGTCTCTTTTCTTTCACACTATCTCTTCTGTTAACTTCATTTATTTTTATGACTTTTGCTCTCCTCAATTATTCAACAAACATGTGTTAAGAACCAATTTTTGTCAAACACTGTGTCATGAAAAAAGTTTAGCTCTGGCTGTGCCTTCCAATAGTTGGGGATTTAATGGGGGAGACATGTAAGGAGACCACCGTGTCCTTGGGCAAGAGATGTAAAGGAGAGCAGCCTGGGAGAAAGAGGTGGGCTTCATGGAGGTGGTGATGTTTAAACTACATCTTTAATTAGGAGTTTCCTAGAAGAAGGAGAGGACGGTCGTTTCAGGAGGGTGGAGAGCAGATGGAGAGGCAGGTGTCGTCACGGGGCAAGCCTCCTGCTTTCGGTCACATCCCTTAACTTGGGGAGAAGATTAGCACGTCAATGTGCTGGTTCAGTGATTAGGAGTTTCAGATTCCAGACGATGAGGCCAGAGGATAATGTGAGGGTCTTGTTGAAAGAAGAGGGAAGAGAGTCCTTTCTGGTTTAGCGGCTCTCCAGTTAATGAATCCTAGCCCTGTTTATTAGGCTTGCCTCTGGAATGAGCAAATGACACCATCTTCATCTCAGGCCACGGCTTGCTACTAACTTTGCTGATGGCCGTTATAAAGAAAGGGACAGCTGTTAGTTGGTTTGTAGCCAAGGAGAGAGCTGGATCCTAGCCCGGGCCAAGCTACTGGGAATGAAGGCCCGGCTGAGCCCCATGTGTTTCTAGAGGAAGGGAGGCAGAGAGAGGCCAGGCCAGGCAGACACTAGCTGCTTTCTTTAATGGCGAAGAGGAGTGATGAAAGAAGAGGGGCTCAGTTACGTGCTCTCAGGGCATTTACAGTGCTTTGGTGGCTTCTTTAGAGGGCTTCTTGTTTCAGGAGTGTTCCTCATGGGGCTGTCCTGGTGTAGACACGCTCAGAAGACACCTGCAGCTACTGCTTCAGTGTCGCATTGGAGCCTAAGGGGAGATGGATTGGAAATGAACGTGCCACTAAATCTTATTTGCACCTCTTCTTGCGCCCCATCCTTCTACCCCTTTCCCCGCACTGTGACCCTTTCTCTGGATTATTATGGTCTGTATACATTTCATTAGCAAAAGGCACCAAAGCTCAGCCTGAAGACCCACCTACATATAAAGAGAGCGTACACCTGAGGGTGTGTGGATGAGCAGGTGCCACTGCTGGGTGGTGGGACATTCGTTTCAAGGTGATTGGAGGGGCAGGGGCCAGGGGCCAGGCCCAAGGGAGTGGCAGGCCTGGAAGGAAAAAGAGGCCCAGTTTTGGACCCTGCTGGGGGTCTGCCCTTCTAAGGGGAGGTATCTGTCGTCTGTCGTGGAGAGCTTCCTAGATCAGGACCGTTGAAGGTTTCGACTGGTTAACTTGCGTGACTTCTAACAGCCACACCGCGCTCCACACACGCCATCGTCTGTGGCTTTGCTCACCGCCTCACTCAGACCACAAATCTCCTCATGTCGAGTCTCAATTTCCTATGACTCTTTATAGAGACCCCCTCAGGGCTTCAACTGGTGAGAATTTCTTAGGAAATTGGATCTTGTTTCTTTCGGAGAGACGGGACTTCACAACAAGGGCTGGATGAAAGCTGCATTGTTCGGGGAGGGGAGAAGAGAGGCTTGGGAGAAACCTGGAGCTTAGCTTATATCTTTAACCCTTTCCCCAGAGCCCTCTGTGCCCCGTGAGAATGCCCAGACATTCTGGGTCGACCCTCCCACCGCCAAGGGGTCTTAGTCTGGTCACTTTAGATTAGAGAGCAGTGTTTTTTGTGTGTTTCTGAATGCACACACACACCCCACACACACTAGACTTGCGTCCATGTGGGCGTGTTTGTGCAAAGACTGACCTGCCAAACAGTAAAGATATTCTTAAATGCAGTATATGTGTCTGTGCATTTAGGTACAGTAATGCATGTTGGGGGTCGGTGTGTATCTATGAAAGAAATGGGATAATTAGCAGATTAATGCTGACAGGCACCTTGGAGATGAACTATCTTCCACAGGCACCATTTTGAAGCTGTGAAAGTAGTTCTGAGGTTAGCCACGTGGTCTAAAGCCACGTTCGTGTGGCAGAGTCAGGTCCACGGAGTCCCTTTTCAGTGCCTCCCCTCCTCTGCCCTGGCCCACTTGTCTCTTTGGGCTGCCTGACCCTGAAGCCAGCCAGAGGTGAACCCTTGGCCCCATCTTCAGAGCCCGGGGCATCATGTTCTCCCTGGGTGTGTGAAGGGTCTTTACAGTGTGACGTTTTCCCAGGGTGTCCAGTATCTGCCTCCATGATGGTGGGGGAGGCGGTGATCTTGGCATTCAGAAACTCCCTTTGGTTTCTGCTGGCGTTCTTTTCCCCCGTGACCATGTGACCCCATGGATGCTGGGCGTTGACGTCCTCATTTCTGAAAGAGCAAGACAGGCTTCTTAACCAAGCGAGATGGTGCTCCTTAACCTCAGGTCAGTCACACAATCACCTGCAGAACTTTGGCAAAAAATAAATACAGACAAATAAACAATACCATCCCGTGGTTGCGGATGTCCGTGCCCAGGTCGACCCCAAACAGTTCAATTCAAATCTCTCAGGGAGACAGCCAGGCTGTGGCCATTTAAATATGTTTCCCAGGGATCCTCATGTGAGGCCACATTTGAGAACCACTGGCGGGATGAATGACAGGGCACCTGTTAGCTCTTCGCATCCTACAGCCCTAGGATTTGGATGTGCAGAGGGAGACCCTCGGGCTGTGAAATGGTCCCAGGACCAGCACAGGGTCCCTGAGTCGGAGGTCGGAAGAAGTGGTTGGAACGTGAGGGCATCTAGCATACAGAGTACGCCCTAAGGGTGGGACTGGTGTGGGCTTCAGAGTAGAGCTATAGTAACCCTGTTCCTGGGCGCTCTCACCAGTGACCTGCGCTGGGAACAGGGTGCGGGCTGGAGGGGTGGTGGGGGCCTGCTTTCCCGGACACCGCTGAAACAGGTGTGTCTGCCTGCAAGTAGGGCGAGCGGCCCCATCCCCTGTTCCACTTAGTCAGTATTGAGGGTGCCCCATTTCTCATTTCAGAGAGAGAGCCTCATTTCACTCCTGTGTAACACTGTAAATGTAGGAAAACTATTAATAAATGGGGCTGGCTGAGCAGGCCCTGATTGACTGGTGAGGGGTGTGAATGGGGCAATTATCTGAGTGCAGTTGGGATCCACTGGCCCCCGTCCCCTCCCTCTCAGCGCCTGGAGTCGAATATTAAAGGCATGAAGAGGAGGAAGAAGGTGGGAGGCAGTAAGCTTCGTTCTTCTGTGACTGTTACTTTAATCACTGACTGTTAAACTGGCTGGCTTAATAGTTTTCTCACCTCCTTCCTTTTTGTCTCCCTGCCTTCCCCATTTTAAAATCAATGTGAACCTAAGTGTACAGAGGTGAGAGGAGAAAGCAGGTTTATTGGACCTGTGTTCCTTTAAAAGGACAAATCATAAGAAAGTAAAAATAGTTCTGTTTCGGACGTCTGCTCAGAGCAGTTGGAGAGAAAGATGATGAATGTGGTTTAGACTCACAGTGGAGTTTGGTGTGATGTGCAGAGGTGTGAGCCGATGATTGTCTAGGAGAAACCTGAGCAGTGGACTCACTGATCTGCATTTCCCAGTATCGGTTGGTCCTTTGGAAGCAGAACATCCGAATCATGGAGATACTGCAGCCTCTTGCCTTGGGTTTGTTACCATGCAGACCACGCGTTCCGTGGGGCCAGAATTGATGTCTTTGGGGTTCGTGGCTCTTCTCTCCATCACCTTGTTAGAAACTCCGGGATTGTTTCTGGGCTTAAGGGGAGACGGAACTCATTTCAGTCCTGTGCTGGTCTTGTTTACGTGTGTGTCCTGGTTTTTCCTTCAGCTCACAGAGGAAGAGAGACTGCAGAAGAAATCTGACCCTGGCCAAATATAGGTGCTCAGATTTAATGGAAGGTCTTTCTTAGGTAGGAGAACGTTGACCTCTTGGATATTTGGAGGAAAAAAAATACTGGGTGGGTTTTATTTCTGCGTATAGAAGAGAAATCACTTTTGTTTGTTGATGAATTTGCCGTTTTTCCATGAGAATGAGACTCCTGCTTCTTGCTTTATGTCACTTTAAGTCCTCGGTGCTTAGCAGAATGCTCTCTGCACATGGGCACTGCTCAGAAATGCTGCTTGTCGATACCGATAGTGATAGAAAGGAACATGCATTGAGGATAAAGTTGACATTTATACCTCTAATGTTTTCATTTCCTGGCCATCCAGGCACCTCGTGATGCTTCAGGTGTGTTTCACTAGAGCTGTATGTATGCGAGTGTCTTTAGTGCTTGCTACAGACTGATGATGAAAACATTTCTCAGTGCCTCACTTCTTTGAGTTTCATTTTACATTGTGTTTAATAAGGGCATTTCTTCCAAATGCACCCCCTTATCACTCATAATGCTTTCCCCCTTTGCTTCAAATTTCATGTAAATAATGTCATCCCTCTAGGTCCATCTCCAAGACTCTCTCCTCCACCAAGCCTTGCTTGATCTTCCCAGCTAGAAATAAGCCCTCTCGAGTCATCTCTATACATCCTCTCTTTATTTTCTCTTCGCCTTTCTCATGCTGACTCTGGGGGCAAATCCCTAGGAAGGCCTTTTCATCTCATGTGCCCCAGTTGCCTTCACTGTGCTGGGCTTTCTGGAATAAATAGGAACATGGTTACTCACCTTCTCAACCTCTCCTTTTTATTCTGTCCCTCTTTACAGAGAGGCTTTGATTTCAAGATAAAGTTCAAAGTTGGTTCTGAGACTTATGAATGTCTTTCCACCACCATAGCGGGGAATCTCAGTTATTGGTCAGTCTTCGTTTATGTACCTCGGTTTATGGAACCTCAGCTTGAGGTTAGGGGAGGAAATGAGAAGGTCCTGGAATTAGGTGGCCAGAAGTTATAGATCATTTGGGAGAGAAATTGTGGAATGAAAATACTAAGAATTATTGCTGTCAGTTTAAGTATAATAATCATCTAAAAGGGATGGCCTCACTTTTGCTTAGGACAGTTTCAATTTTCTGTTGAAATTGGGCCTTGAATCGGCAATAGATGTCTGTGGTTACGTTATATATGTAATATTCCGGCTTACATTAACATATGTTGTCTCATTCAATCCTTACCAGCAGGCTGACATTGTTTGTTTTTCTCAGATTGACAGAGTGAAGGTTAGAGAGCACACGGGCTCCTAGCAGTCAGCAAGCCGGGATTCCAGCCGACACCCTTGGATTCTAACCCCTGGCTCTTGAAATTCTGTAGAGCCACCTCCATGTGAAAGGCTGGGAGGGTTTATGATGCATGTAGAGGACCCCATAAGCACATGTACTCTGAAACTTCAGCTGGAGTGACTTCCTTCTGATCCCTTCTTTTTGGGCTTCGCTCTTGGCAAAAGACAAAGTTGTTTTCAAGTAGAAAAATGCATCCTACAAAATAGCCAGTTTCTGGACTGTAATTTAATTTAGTGAGGACAAGAGGTGAGAAAGTCATGGCATTGGCAATCAGCATCTCTTTTATTTCACATGGTGGTTAAGGCTTGAACACCATCTTCTTAGCCTGTTCCTACCCTTCTGTAAATATCCTGCACCTCCAACTTGAAGATACTTCCTTTAAGAGGAAACAGTCCCTTTTGAACTTACTTAATCTTGAACATCCTGATGATTACCCATTTTCTCCCACCTTGTCTTTCTCAAACCCAGGTGTAAACTACCACTTTGAGTGCTTAGAATAAGAGAGTGGCGATCAAGCATCCTGCTTCATTGTTGGGTTTTTATTAGTAGCAGAACTCACTATTATTATTCCATGAGATACACTTGCTTCATTCCAAGGATGAGAAGGAACTCTTTTCATTTCAAATATCTGTGTTAACTAGTGACTCAGAGGGCACTTTTTTTTTTTAAGGAAACATACAAGACAAAGATTCAATATCCTTGTTGTTGTTGCTCAGTCACTAAGTCATATCTGACTCTTTTTGACCCAGTGGACTGCAGCACACCAGGCTCCCCTGTTCTTCACTGTCTGCCAGAGTTTGCTCAAATTCATGTCCATTGAGTTGGTGAGTCTATCAATTTCCTGTGTCTTTACTTTTGGGCTTAAGAAAGGAGGTGGTGTCTTGGTGTTGCAGGGTGTTCTGGTGCTTAGCTTTGTCACGTGTGGATCTTAAAACTACTTTTCAGTAGTTGAAGCAGAGTGATATTGGGGAAGGAATGCTTGAGGGGCCAGGAATCAGGTCCCATCTGAGCCCCACGTGCATGCTGTGGGACTCGGGCAAGTTACCCAACCACTCTGAGTTCATGTCCTCATTTGTAAAATGAGACCTTTAGGGGATACAGGGATTGTGTTGTGGAGCAAGTGAGGAAATGTAAAGAATCCCTTCAAACCATGAGCTTAATACACACACAGTATTATTGTTAATAACTCCACCCTGCTCAACACCACGGCTTTGCAACGGCCTCCAGTGCGGTGCATGGACCACATACTCCCTGTGGGCAGGAGAAGAGGGAGCATCTGATGGAGGGGGGCAGGCCGCGAGGCCCCGGCATTTGGAACCCAGAGCAGCAACAGGCACTGTGACGTGTGGTTTTTAATCTTTGGTCTCTGTTTCCTTCTCCGGTTCTCTTTCACAGTATTTATCTAGAAAACTAGATAAATGCTTGTCAGAAAGGAGAGCAAGACTAATCTTTCTAGCTTTATGTATAGAACCATTTTTCCCAGGCTTATCTTTTATCTTTACACGATCCAAGAAGGGGAGAGATGAAGATGGTGATGCAGGCAGAGGAAAAGGAAAATGTGAAAGGCAGTCTCAGGCTCCCGCCTTTGCCCACACCTCCTGCTCTGTCGCGGTGCCCTCCCCACCTCCGCTCACCTGCCTCACTCCTGTCCCGTCTTCAAGATTCCGCTTAGGACTTCCCTGCTCCAAGTCCTCCTGGTACCCGCAGGCTGGAGTCACTGCCTCCTTGCTGTCCATGGTCCTCTGGTTTGAAATGACTCTTACTGTGTCTCCATTCCATCCATCCTGCTTTCTCAAGGGCAGAAAATGCCTCTACCGTCTACCCCAGGGGAGCCTAGCAGAAAACGCCTCTACCCTCTACCCCGGGGGAGCCTGGCAGAGTTCTGGCATGGGGTGGGCATGTACCAAGTGGCTGGTGGTGCGATCTGAGTACCTACAACTTCTGTGTTCAGTGCTATCCACGCATGAATGAATCCGACAGTCCCACCCCCTCCCCCGAAAGTGTGTGTAGTTATTGCCTGCATTTTATGGAAGAGAATACACAAAGAGGTTAAAACTTGTGTAGCCCAAGTGGCAGAGCTGGGATTTGAACCCAGCTGTCTAGCTGGAGCTCTTAAGCTTTATGCTCCATAGCTCTGTAGTAAATTTT